AAATTTATAATGAAAGCATGATAAGTGAACTAAAGCTTTTGAAAGTAATCATGAATGATATCAATAAATTAAATTTAATTGTTTATTATTTAAACAATTTGGTTAAACAAAAAAAACCATCAATTTTAATTTATAGTTGATATAAAAATTACTAAGGTTTGAATTACATTATTTACATAAGATCCTGAAACTGAATTTAGAACAATTTAATCAATTTGGTCAGAAGTGATATTGTATGTTACATGGTATTATTAAATCAAGAAAAACGACTAATATAAATGAAAGAATTTTTGTTTGCATTTTGCAATAATAGATATTTCAATAAGATGAGAAATTATTTTTTTTTTTTTGCCTATTTTTTAAAAAAATTATTTTAAAAATATTTACATAATCATCCTTATCATCATCACTATTATTATTATTATTATATTATTATTATTATATTATTATTATTATTGTTGTTGTTGTTGTTTTATTGTTGGCTTTTCGCGAACAAAAAAAAAAAAGAGAAAGAAAAGAAGACCATCGTAATAAAGTGTATACAATAAGACAGAAAATACTGTATATATAATAAGGAGGAATGAAAATTGATTGGTAATTCCCTTTTAAAAAACAAGTAAGCACCGTATTGATTACAAGTCATATGAAAAACAATGAGAATTTTTTGATAAAGTTTCAATGTATTGTTTTCGCATTCTAATAATGCTTCCTTGATGATTACAATGTAGATTGCATGATGCGTGTATGGTTGATGGCACGATACCCATTATCAACGTATTGAAAAAGCGACGATAAATAAAACATCCTCCTATTGAACGCTCCTAAATGACCAACATCACTTACAACATTTCTCATTCATTCATTCATTGATTGATGCGTAAAAGGCTTTTTGGCAACTTTCCGTTTCTGACCTGCGCATGTGCGAATATTGATGTGCAAGCGGATTATAGTATTCCTTTAAAAGTGTAAGATGTGTGTATTCGACGACAATTATTAATCCAATTGTTCTTCTATACCTTTTGAATCAGATTAACTTATCAGCATACGGTTCATTTTATTATATTCATTATTACGCATTAATTTCCAATGCAATGATTGGTTATGGGATGAACATTCCATCACTGATCTCGGCAACCTTCGAAGGGAAAAAGAAAACAGGAAAAGAAAAAAGAAAACTAAAAGCTCAATCGGATTTAGTGCTAGCTTTAAAAGAGGCGGTGAGTAAACTCCATCGTTTCGTGCGACCAGGATCAAGGTTATATTTTTCTGTGGAAATCGTCTGATAGGTGCATACGTACGGTACACGCATTATACACCTAAAGGTAAACGCCGTGCCGTGTGGTCGAATGATCTTTCTTTAAGAAATCAAAGGGAAGTGATTCACCGCGGATGAGTTTATAATCCGACTTATATATACATGTTCACAAAAAAAAAAAAAAAATGGTTGGTCAGATGAATTTCATGATAACGAGATGCTTCAAGAAAGGAAGTGCACACACATTTGTACCAATAGGCTTCACCATGTATGCGGGGTGTGCACCACCAATCAGATATTCCCGAGGTCAGCACCTCTGCATTTATGTTTACTGTTGAGGTGTTACACGCGAAGAACTCCGAATGTTCAGGTGATGACGTAAACTCGTCGGGTTATAAGAAACGACCGAATTTCCTTGACACATACTGTAAGTTTATAATCCCAAATTGGCCCGAACGCATCTTTAAAAGGGTAAGGTTTGAAGATGAATGTAAACATAAACATAACGTTTTTCGCCGCCCACAGATATTAGCGATACACACGCACTTTTCACCATCATGTGCCTTAATTATGCGGGAAGCAACAGTCATCATTAAATACATATAGTATACATATACGGGATGTATCATCAAGTTGGTTAATTCGAAGCTTCTTAATTAGTGAAGTGAAGGTAAACATAAAATGCACGTAAGAAATGGATGAATGGATACACATGAGAAGAGGAGAGATCACACTTGCATTTTCTTAACTAGGGAGGAGGACCAAAAAACGCTACTGTCATCACAAAACCATTTAAAAAAGAACATTATCATATGGTTAGGCATCGTCTTGCATGAAAAATTACGTCGAACGGTTGCGTGCATAGTTTGGTTATGAAACACAAATCTCGATGTGTACATAGGAAACGATGATACAACGCACGACATTTACGTAAATACGCATAAGGATGGGCACTTGTCACATTGTTGTGACAAGTGCCCGTGCACCCTACGCCTAGGACGACGCCGGCCACTCGAAGGACACTCTCGATCCGATCATGTGTGCTATTATACCACGCGCATAATCGATCGGAGAGTGAACGCCAAGGCTGCTGGTTCTACCCGTGATAACCCAACATTCGCATTAAAAAAAGATCGGGAAATGTCGTGATCCCGCGATAAGAAAGAAAATCCTTTCTTTGTTATCTCGGAAATTGGGTTGTCACATGACGCCCGATTCTGACGATCACATTTGTTCTCTCCAAGTTAAACGTGCGTTCGCTCAATGAACAGGTTTGCAACACCCTGAAAGATGTGGATCCCACGATTTCTTTAAACTTTTGTGCGTGCCCCGATTTCATACAGGGATTCCTTGTTGTGTAAACAAACTATGTCTCCAGGATCTTCAAACTGTCTTGTGAAAACTGGGAGCGAGGTTGTGGCCCTCATTACTGATCGATGTGATACAGACATGGATGTTGACTTAAAAAAAATTTTTTTTTTTTTTTCGAGTTTACAACGTGAAAAAAAGGTCATCTGGGGATCAAATGACCGAAAATCGAAAACGCAATTCCTACCCGTGACGTACATGCTGGAGACAATGGACCACTGTGCACAGCCACAATTTGTGATATTCGAGCACGTGTGGGATGAATGTGTGCGTGGTCGTCGTCGTGGGAAAGTAGGAAACGTAGGCCAGGCCTATCACTTTAAAAATGTCACGCGAGCTTTTTTGGAAATGCTGACTCGGTTCTTCCGAATAGGAAATTTTTTTTATGTGAAGGTGCAACGGATGGTACGTACTGTAGGTGCGTACTTTACGCGTGCAGTGCAATTGGTAGTCCGGTGGAAAACCGCTGGAAAGACGGTTCTCATTTGTATGATTGTGTAGCGACAAGGCATATGTTCCTTTCTTTTTAGAAGGAAGGAAGGAGGGTGAGTTTTTTTTTTTTTTTTTTTTTTTCTTTTTTTTTTTTTTTATTTATTTTTTTAAAAAAAAAAAAAAAAAAAAAAAAAAAAAAAAAAAAAAAAAAAAAAAATCGAAATTTTCATGTCCCAGGCGCATTGGTAGCACACACCTTCGTTAAGGAATGCACTTACGTACGTACGTACGTACGTAAATTTCTAACGCGGAAAGTGAGAAACCATAACAGAGTAAAAAAAACAATATCACCTAAAACGGATTCTTGTACTCGTTTTGATCTCGCGAAATTGGAAACGCATAGGAATGAGGCGAATATAGCATATGAAATTTGGAACTAATGGATATCAACAATGAGGTATTTATTTTTGAGATCAAATAAATGATAAGTCTTTAGATAGCGATAAGGCAAAAGAATCTAATTAGTGGTCATGAATGCTGTGCGACCAGAGTGATACCTTTGTGTTCAAACCAACTACGTAATTTGGATACATGACATAACGCGAATGACAAATAACGCAGGGTCGTCGACAAGTGTGTGCAATAGAGTGTGCCATATGTAGTGGGATTTGTGCGACGCCGAAGTAAATGAAACTACGGTAACATTGATGGTTTGTAGGACAAAGCTCAGCAGGTTCGAAATTTCACCCGAATCGAAACATTCCCGCCTCGTGTCTGATCATCTCACCTTCCTCCATCTTTCGGAAAGCAATTGAGCCAAAAGAATAAACTTTCGAGCGTGTTGCATGATTAAAATGTTCGGAAAGAGAATCAATCGGTGTCGAGGGAACAATAGATATTCTCTTTTGGTACTCTAAAATCTAATTCATGAGATGACATGCAGTATCGTATGATGCAGGTTGATTATTTTGGGCTTATTAAATGTAATAATGATACAAAGAAAAAACCGAAACCGAGACCGAAAAAAAAAAAAAAAAAAAAGTTTTATCCTTTGAAAATTATGTATGCACCTATATGATACGATTTCACGGTTTTCCCTAACTGCAGAACACGGGAACATTGAAAACCTTAACTGGGAGCGGTCAAGTTACCCGTTGCACAGAACTTTTGCTAACAAAGGATCATCGCTGCAGCACCTTTTCGCACGCTGTGCCAAATTCGACTACGGCGGCAATTAGCTGTTACCAATTATGGGTTATCAAACGAATTCGAGAAAGAGAATTTTCCTTATTGTGCGTATGCCAAATTCTCTTCACCTCGGTGGTCTGCACGATAAACATCAAATCATCACACACGCATCATCCCATAGGACAGACGTCGATGCGCACCTCGTACTCATCCGTAGTCATGAATCATCATCGTTTTTTCCATTCTAATACTTTTAAGTAATTTTTACATTATCTGTATAAAATAAAGTCAACACCCCCCCCCCCCTTAAAACCGCCACAAAAAACCCACGCTTCACTCCGCCACATAAAAAAAAATTTTTTTTTTTCTTATCAGCTTATTCAAAATATATACGGACGGTACTTTACGATTTATGTCTTAGTACAGTAAGTTAACGGTATATCAAATTTTTTTTTTTTTTTTTTCATTTTAAAAAGTACTGTACACAAATAAAAAAAAAAGTAGGTTTCGATTATCGTATCGATAAATACAATGATTTACTGTACGATACGCCAATTATATGTTGAAGGCGAACAGTATAAAATGAGCAAGATATTTCCTCGAGCTTTTTCTTCTTTTTCTTCAAAACAACATAAAGTTTCGTAAGAAAAAAAAAATTAATAAAGAAAGAAATAACCCGATAACAAATACAAGTAATCTTAAATAGAGAGCGAGAAAAACACAACCAGGCTGACTGTGAAAACCATACGACTTAACAATGCCTTTCTATTCTCAGTGGTACAAACAAAGTGTTTGCCTTCGTGGTAATGACAATTCCATCGATTACGTTGGTGAAAATACGAAAAATGCGAGCACCGATGCGGTCCAGGCAGATTTGACTCCCATTCAAGTCACCGTTTCTTCGGTCAAGGACAAGCTTGTTTATAACGTCGAATACAAACCATCCGAAGGTGAAACGAACCTAGACAAGATAATTCACAGCAGGGAAAGCACCGCCTCTTCCACAAAACTCAAGACCTCTTCCCCTCACGTCGGTGCCGCTGCTAACGCAGTTGTGGCGAGATTCGTTCAACAAAATCATTCGAGGACACACTCCCGCCAAGGGAGTTCGGTATCTGATACCATTTTCTCCAGCACCGACCGAGTCTCCTCGGACTCCATGTGGGAAGATTGGATTGTGAAGTATCTCCACGAAGATACCGATGCCGCAGCGGAAGAAGCCCCCATGGAAGACTGGGTAAGTTATAAAACAACCGACTTTCTGGAAATTTAATGTATATATTTGGTAATTTACTTACTCGATTACCTTTTCTTTTTTTAAAAACCAAATAGATATTTGAAACCATGTAGGGATCATAAAGAAATCTCAAAAAAAAAAAAAAAAATTCGTCAAAGATTCCGGTACTCTTTGCGGGTAAAGAGAAAAAAACAACCTTCTGTATATTTTCGACTTGTACAATAACTTAGACAAAAAAAAAAAAGAGTTTTTCGACTTTCATACATACAATTGCACATAATATTTTATTAAAAAAAAAAAATTCTTTCGTATCGTTAACTTTCAAATTGCAAACACAAACACATTTTTTTTTTTTCGATTAACCGATTAATCTTCCCTCAATCCTCATACAACTCGAACGAAACACCTATCAACATTAGAATATTTATCCTTTATGCCTCCAGAATCAAAACCAACGTAAGAACTCTTCCCGGTGAATCATCATCGCCTTTTCTACCTCCGTTTCATGAAATCACCTGTTCTGATTACATGCAGAACAGACTTGCCATGCGCAAAAAAAAAAAAAAAAAATTCCACATATACATATATACACATCTAGTATATAGAGCAAAAGAAAAACCCATAATTCATCAAATACACATAAGCGTTTTTTTTTTAATTCGCAATCCTAAAAACCTCCAACCTATGGTTATTTCGTTCTTTTCTTTTGCACAACTCATTAAGATTTGAGATTTTATAATTTTTCTTAAACAAACCCACATGCATTTTTTTTTTTTTCTTTTTGATAACAGAGCGGCATATATTACATTGTTGGCATCATTATTTCTTGTATTCATGTAGATTTCTATCCCATTTGTTTTATTTTTTTTCCTTTTGCATGTCGGTAGACGACAGTCACCCTGACATTCACGCATACAGTATATATTTATTGTTTTTGGCCTAGATCGGGTATTAATTTTTGTACATAAAGACAGATTGCTGGTATTTTTTTTGTGAAATATAACAAATAAAGAAAAAAGGAAAAAAGAATTCTTTATTGTGAAAAAAAAAATTTTTTCAAAGATCGTGATCTCGATAAAGATTTATTTCCTTAAAAGTTTTCGCCCTTAAATTTCAGGAAGTTCACTGCGCGCGTTAGGTTGCGAAAGAGTGATTAACTCGATTTGTGCGATTCCGTAGCACAAGTACGTATGTATGAACGTATGCTTAAAACTAAACAACAGAAAAACGTGTTTAGGAGCAATTAAATTTTAAAATTAAGCCCTTAACATCAAACTTTATCACACTTTGCATTGTCCACTCCCAGGAGCATTCCCATTTGCGCTTGTAAACATGACACTGTATTGTCAAAGGTCACAGGATCTATGCTGGCGTTTCTTTTTTTCTTCTTATGTAAATAATCATGGCTTCTTTGATCGAATAATCGTGAGACCTCGTGTCTTCACGTACTTACCCCGATAAATGAAACTTGGTAATAATAAGGATGGCGCATGCAATTGAAGAAATTTAGCGTTTTTTCGAGAATAAATCGTTGTGACGACTTTACCATCGAGAGACCATTGATTCCTAAAATGAGCATTATGGCGGGTCCCGCAACGTAAAACGCTCTCACAATGAACCTTAGTATGCATCTCCTTGGAAAAGTGATTAAAATCTTTTTTTCTTTAATTGTTCGGATGGATGTGATGAGTGATGACAATTTATTTTCCTTTTATTAATTTTTTACATACCGTATATGCAGCACATGCAGATTTTAATCTAAATAATTTTGCGATTGCCTCGGAGGTTCTTAAGATCCTTTCTTACCTTCCTCTCTTCCTCTTTTTCTTGCCCGACTGATATGTAACCACATACAGTATATTAAAACTTTCCGAAATCGTTAAGAGCAATATTTGGGCGATCCGGAAGATCTTGGTCATTTTTTAATGAAGGGAAAGATCGTTTTAAGGCATAATGATAGGCATGAAAAAAAAAAAGCGTTTTTTTTTTTTTTTTTTTTCTAGAAAAAAAAACATTTCATTTGCAGTATGTGCGTAATAAAAGTATGAAATGAAAAGCGGTAAACAGAAAATATTTCTGTGCGCACGTACTATGCTGCTGTGTTTTCATTAGCAGATAAGATGGATACTGGTACGTATCTGCGTAGATAAAGATCAATAAGATTGCATCTCATTGCAAACCTTAAAAATAAAATGATTTGAAATCGATAGATGGGTTGCTTCTCTGACTCTAAAATCAATGATCGGAATTTGGGCGTAATGAGTATGTTGCTGTAAGTAGGGTCGGACAAATTCTCATTCTATATATGGGTTGTGCAGATTAGATGAGTGACGACCACCGGAGGGTTCTACCTAATGGGCGTAACATCTGTAACATTTTAGGAGAAAATCGAATGGATTTTGTCCGTTTTATTGAGCTCGCAGGCATACTAACTGCGCATGTAATTTGAGTACATACGTACACTCTAAACATGGGACTCCATAGTTTCTATCTGGAGTATTCGATAAGGTTCTTCATTCTTGCCAATGTACTGTACATACGTGGGTGTGTGCAGTACGTGTATGTCCATTTGACCCTCATATTCCGAGACTAAAACGATTTTATTATCATTTTCGAGAAACGGCATCTCCTTTTCCATGTGAATCCACTGCAATTATCTAACATATCTATAATCGATGGGCTTTCGTTTTCTTTCAAAAATGATTAAACCGTCTTCATAGAATAGTCGGTTTTCTTTTTTTGCACACATTTTATCCAAGCTTTCATTCTTATTGTTCAACTTTTTTTTTTTTTTTTTTTTTTTTTTTTTTTTTTTATATAAATAAATCTTTCCAATTTAACCATATTTCCACTATGGCTCACAATCTCTAATCTGTCTGAAAAAATTTCAAGAGTCATGACCAGTTGTGACTACCAGAGCATTGTATTTGACCTCTATGGTGAGAAATTTGATCCTTATCGTCATATTATCATTATTATGTGAAGCGGCACATGGCTTCCTCGGACACATGACCAATGCTGAACGTGTCGACAATGTGACTCATCGATATCTCAACTTCTCGGTTTAAGCTATATCAAGCCTTTTTCATCTGAATGGTTCTTTCAGAACAAAATTGTCGGTCGGTCGATTGGTTGCACATGATTTCATGGACAACTCCTGACCGATGTGGTTTTGATATCAACAAAGTATGCGAGAGATGGTTGATAAGCGGCGGCCATAAGGCAAGGCTTGAAAAAACAAAAAAAAAAAAAACGAAACAACCAAAAAAAGAATTTGGATAACCGACTCATTGCGACTCATTGTTTTTTTTTTCGACAATCAACCCGATACCTGTATCATCCAGAAATAATCTCATATGCGCATGTAAAACGTTAACGTGCCGAGATACAATTTCCAAATCGATCGGGATTATAATGCTACAACGTCAATTATTGAAACGTCAATTATTTGAAATTTCAAATTGACATTCGGAAGTGTGAGTTACCCATGTTCATCACATGAAAGTGCGCACTTATGCAACATTTTATGTATAGCAATTTGGCTTTTGGGTCACAAGACTTGTATTCCAAGCCACAATAAGGAATTAGTGCCAGAAAATTGCTGTTGACCCTGATCCTTTGGACAAGGCTGTGCCAAACCTTACACTCCACCACTTATTCCACAATCTTGTTTTTTGACTCATTTAAGGAATTTTTTGATTTTTCTGAAAAAACGATCATCGATCTCCGCGTACACACACTCCTTTCGAAATGTACTGGATGGACGGCTTCTCTGATCAAACCGATTGGCGTGAAAGTTGATCTCGTATAACTTCAGTGAACATAGCTTGAAGGTCGGGCGTCTTTCACACACCAGACTCGGAAAATCTCTCTAGGATTACGTACGCGTAAACAATGTGAAGGGCATGGTGGGAAAATGCTGACTAGAAGGCATTTGATGCTATTGCATGTGATCGCCCTGGAAATAGAATAATTGATTTGATTGCATTACGCAAATTCACCAATCAGGAACAAAGAATTTGAATTTTTTTTTTTAAATTTCGATTATATAATTTTTTTTTTCTTAAAGAAGAGCTTTGATTATATAATTCTTCTCTCTTAAAAAAAACAAAATAGTTGATTATATAATTTTTGTAATATGCGAATATTATTATTAAACTTTATGATTCAAAATCCGAAATTATTGCAATTTATTTGAAATACAATTAATTGTCTTTGAAAATTTGAACTCATCTACAGTATTATCAAAAATTTATTTATGGATTCTAATTGTTTTTTTGCATATTGATTATTTTTTAAAGATTTGATTCTATATATTTGATATAATTTGAAAATACTGCAATTTCAAATTAAATTATAAAAGTTTGATTAAATAATCAAATATAATTTATAGAAAGTTCAGAAACAACAAAGGATAATATAAGAAATATATATAAAGAATTAAACACAGAGGTTATGAAAAAAAATAACAAGAATAAAGAAAAAACAGTTATAAAAAAAGAAAACAAATCTGAAAAACAAATAATTAGTTTTAGCAAAATACAATAATCAATCTCTTAAAATTTCAATAATATAAAATATATAAAAATAATGATTGATAATACAGTATATCTTAAAATAAACAAGTAAGAAAAAAATCCCAGTCAATTCAATAAATATATATCCAGGAAATCTAAGACAAAATCTAATAAATAACAAGAAATCTTTAAATAATAGTTATATATTAATAACTCTAATATATAAATAAAATTAAAAAGAAAAAATCTACTTTAAAATAATTATATTCAAAAAAAAAAAAAAATTAACAAACCAATAATTAATATATAGGATAAATCCAAGTTCAAGTTCTTTTTTAATAAATAAAATTTCAAAACTGAAATTCACAAATAGATTTAATATTAGTTTTTAATAAAAAAAAAAGATAAAATAAATATATTATTATTAATTTCAACTTTAAAAAAAAACAATATTATTATATATGATATCTTTCTAAATATCAAGTTTATTTAAGATAAGACAAACTTTTAGCAAATATA